ACTGAACCTATAAGCCAAAGAAAGCCTTTCCTCCTCATGTTTGTTTTGGTCAGTATTTTATCACAGTAACAGAAATCACGCATAGTATAGTAAATATTTTCAACTTTTTACGAAACTTTACATTGCATCTGATACCTATTTTTAAATGACATATTTGCTTCAGTTGGTCAAAATGGGGGGGAAAAAAGCTGTTACTGATGCTATTGAATAACACAAAAACCACCAAACAGAAGAAGCTCTAAATGTATTAATGATTATATATTGATTATGTACATATAATTAAACATAATGCATATGTACCCCAGGATATGGAGAACAGCACTCAGTACTGTGGTTGATATATTGTGTACCCCAATAAACTTATCTGGTGGTCAGAGAACAGAACAGCCACTATAGTAAACAGGTTTAGGCAGTGGTAGCACATGCCTTTAATGCTAGCATTCAGGAGGCAGAGATCTGTCTGGATCTCTGTAAGTTCAAAGCCACACTGGAAACAGCCAGGCATGGTGACACATGCCTTTAATCCCAGGAAGTGATGGCAGGAAGCAGAAAGGTATATAAGGCGTGAGGAACAGGAACTAGAACCTTTTTAAGCTTTTAGCTTATAGCAGCAGTTCAGCTGAGATCCATTCAGATGAGGATTCAGAGGCTTTCAGTCTGAGGAAACAAGATCAGCTGAGGAATTGGCAAGCTGAGGTTGGCTGTGGCTTGTTCTGTTTCTCTGATGTTTCAGCGTTCACCCCAATACCTGGCTCCGGGTTTGTTTTTATTCATAAGACCTTCTAACAATTTGTGCTACACAGTGTGGTATGGATGTTAGGCTACACAAAGTCAAAAATCATTCTGGTTATCTGTAAAGGAAAAATATCTAATTTTTCTGGTACTCGAATATGGCCCAGAATTAGGCATGCACAGGAAGGCAATGGAAATACACACTCTTGCCCTGACTGATCCTCTGAGTCAGAATAGGGACTTTTGAAGATGCCTGGGTGATGCATGCTTACAAAGCCCCGATGGAAGTCACAGAACCCCACCGAGAGTGTCAAGCCCTCATGCAAACTAGGGGTTTTGAGGTTTCAGAAGTTCCTTCCAACTCCCATGCTTCAGCCTTTGGGCATCTCTCAAAAATGACAAATAAATAGAATTGTCTCTGAAGAAACAAATCAAATACCCTTTGAGGATAAGAAGGATTGAAGAAAAGATCCAGTCCCCACAGTAGGGAATGTCTGTGGTTTGTTCGTAGACTCACCAGACACGGTTGTTCCTACAGAACTGCTAGTTTAATCCCTACCTACTATCACCATCCCATGACACTACTCATGTTTTGAGGAGGAAATATGTAGAACCTCTCTTGAACCTGAGTTCTACCCCCAGGACTCACGTGGTCAAAGGAGAGAACCAATTCTGTAAGTTCTCACACACACACACACACACACACACACACACACACACACACACCAAATAAATAAGTAAATAAATAAATAAAAACAAATAGAAATAAGTGTAATTTAAAGGTCTTTTTAAAAGACCAAATGAATCACCATTCAAACACTGACAACAATATTTCCAGTTACCGTTATTTACAACTTGGATCCAGAAATTACTATCAGCACTAGATAGGGATCAAAAGTTTAGGACACTTAGACAGAAAGAGGCCTTATGTACTAAACTACAGCAGAGCAGCCAAGATTGTAAAAAAAAAAAAAAAGAAAGAAACTTGAAAACCTGTCGAAAGTGTTTAAGTAACAGAGCCTGGGCACACCAGAGCATTTTTAGGTGGATTAAAACCTCACCCCTTGGCACAATTCCTGTCCCATGGCGAAGGTACAATAGTACTTACTTATTCCATGAATGAACAGATCAATAAGGAATGAAATGATACTGCTGACATCATTGGTCTTTCATTTGTCCCATTCTCGCTGATCTCTAAGGTGTTAAATATCTCTCCCACCTCCCTCTGGGTGGTGGTGTAAAAGCCTACACTTCGAGATCTCCACTTCCACCTCTCTTCATCCACATTCAGGCTCCCAGGCTGCTATCTTAATCTTGTTTCCCAAATCCTCATTCTCAGTATGTCTCACTCAGCTACTGGTAATGATCTCCAATCTTCCCTTTAAACCAGCCCACATGTTAGAGCTGGCATTAAGCTCTCAAGGGGCAGTCAGTCCCCATCTTGCCATGGACCCACAGTAAAACTTTCACTGGCTAGCTACCACAGGCACATAACATCACTGAGCCCAGAATTCTAGACTTCTATATAATTTAGCCCTTCCATTTACTTCTCATCATTTTCTTCATGCAATTTACAGTTTGTAGGCCACAACAGAATTGGGTGTTAAGATTGCCTGTTTGGCAGTTGCACCCCTTAGAGCTGAGTCTCAGCAATTCCTGACTACTCAAAAGACCCTGGAATTTGCCTAGTGTCTTTATGTCTCATTTTCCTCTGCAAAAATGGGGAATAATGATGCTATGTAGCAGAAGCGTTACAAGGAATGAATGTAATTTAAGCATCTGTCAGATTGTAAGAACTTTTTAAATCTTATTTTAATTTTTCTTTTAGAATTAGTGAAACTGGCCATACACCAAGTCTTTATCCAAAACTATCTTCTTGAAAACACAAAAGGTAAAGATTGTACAGAAATGCTAATAATAGCTTCGAAAATGCAATTTCCGTTACCACAGCAACGATTATGTCTGTACACTGACTTTGACATTTCTAAGTAGCAACTCACAGGAAGTCTTCCTTAATCATATGCTTCTGAATGTAAAATTAAAAGGCATTCCAAACAGTACTGGTAATTCTTTGGCCAAATTCAAAATTAAATCCCCCTTCTGCTAGGGAAACGATACCTTCTTATGATTTTCATAATAAAACTACACAGATACTGAGAAATAATAAAAATCAAGCAAATCCCAATTAATAATCAGCATTTCAAATGTTTCCATTTCTTCTTGAAACAGGTATCCCATAGCCAGCTGTCCTACAAGTTCACTCTATACAGCTAGACTGGCTGCGCCTTCTGCCTCCACTTCCCAATTGCCGGAATTACTGGTGTTTATCACCCCTCCTTGCTTCAAATTTGTCTAAAAGTAATAAGTAAAATCAAGAACTTTACAGATACTCTAAGCTGGTGAATAGGTTCATCTTTACTAGGATCTCTTATAGCATTGAGAAAGAGTCAACTTTTATGTTCTAGATGTCGAAGCAAATACCGTGACTCAACACGTTTAAGAAGGTGAAGACTGAAATCATCTAAGCTCCGGAGCAGCCAGTGGATATAAAGGAATAAACACACGGCAAGCAGTAACCTGCTTTCTATTACTGTGATGGCCAAAAGCAAACACTGATTAAACCCTGGGGCGTTTCCTTTCGGGATTATTTCACATCACAGATTACAATCCAACACCAAAGGAAGTCTGGGAAGGAACCTGGGGCCAGGGACTGAAGCAGGGGCCATGGAGAAATGTTGCTTACTGGCTCGCTCCCCATAGCTTTCCCACAGAACTCTAAATACACCTTCCCCAAAGCAGCACAGCCCACAGTGGGCTGGACCATCCCACAAGTGGAGGCATTTTCTCATCTGAGGTTTCCTCTTCCCAAACAACCCCAGCCTGTCAAGTTGACAAAACCCAATCAGCACACTGAGCTGCAGATGACAACAAATAGCTAAAATTTACCAAATACTTGTCTGGCAAAACTGTTCTGGGTGTTCTAGATGTAGACATCTTTAGTCATCAAAGGCGGCCTCTAAAACAGGTGTTTATTTTGTCATCCTTTTCATACAGATGGAGAGAGTAAAACTCAACCAAGGACACCCACAATGTCTGCAGTGGGGCTGGAACTTGAATCCATGATTTTCGTTATCATAAGGACTCTCAGAATTATCCCGTCTCCTTGATACCAGAAAATGGGAAGACTGACAAGAAAGGCAAAATCAAGATTACAGGCCAGATTCCATCAAGAGGTTGGTAGCAGGAAGAAATTGAGGATCTCATCTGACCAGCCAAGTCTAGGTTCACTATAGTGCAGTGTTGCTCAAGTCTAGTTAGTGACCCCGGGGTATCCTGGGGTCGGGGTGGGCTATAAAACACCACAAATAATCTCAGGATTACTAAACAAGAACTCAAGAAATTCTCAAAGACTAAATTCCAATGCTGCTAAAGCATAATACTCTCAATTAAGATGTGTCCCGTCCAAAAAGAGTTCCATAAGACAGTACTGTTGAGCCAGCAAAATGGCTTAGTGCAGTGGTTCAACCCGTGTGCCCATCAGATATTTATATTACGATTCGTAACAGTAGCAACATTACAGTTATGACGGAGCAACGACATAATTTTATGGCTGGAGCTCACCACAGCATGAGGAACTGCATTAAAGGGTCACAGCATTAGGAAGGTTGAGAACCACTGACTTATGGGGAAAGGTACTTTCCACACAGGCTGACAACCAGAGTTTGGTCTATTAGGACCCACCCGGTAGAAGGAGAGAACTGACTCCCGCAACTAGTCCGCTGGCCTCCACACACACGCCACAGCATGCGTGTTGGCACACAAGCATGCACATTGGAGCTCAGGTCTCAAAGACCCACAGAGACAAAACGTAATAAATGGTTTAAAAGGCTGTACTATAACCAATTTGCAGGAGCTCATGGGGGTTTGTTTGCTTGCTTTTAAGTAGCTGATTCCTGGTGGGTATTTTTTACTTTAAAGCTTTCTCAGAACAAATGATGAGTTAGTGTATGAAATTTGACAAAAAAAAAAAAAAATTATATATACATATAAGCTTCCCAGGCTCCGTAGCCCGCCTTGTGGATAGGCTGAAGAGGAACTGATTGGTTCATGTCTCCTGGGCTTCCTGGCCACCTGCAGAACCCAAAAGGAAGAAAACAGCATGCAGCTGGAAACGGACATGTTCACACCACCTGCGAGGAACTCCACATTTCCAGTGCTGAAATCCACATCTAAGGAACCCGAGACAAGGCTGAGTGGCCTGCACCGACCTGCACTTTAAGGGTGTGTTTCCCGAAGGCCCTCTCTTTCTGAAAAACGTAGTGAGGAGAGATGGAGGAGGATGGAACGCATCAGGAGTCTACTGCTGACATGTGGAGGTCTTGGTACTGGAAATAATCCAAGATGACGGGGGTACGTTGCTGCTTCCCTTGCAAGTGCTGAAACAAAACACAACACGGAGATGGCACATTTAGAGAACGGCTAAGCTGCCAGAAGCTGAGGCCATTAACAAATACAATAAGAACACTGTTTCAGTCCGATCATCTATGATTTCCTAAAAGCTGCTTTATGGGATTATGAGATTACCAAACACAAAACCTAAATGAAACAAACACAGAAAACCAACAGCCAAGCAAGCCCCACATTACATTTCTGTCCTTCCAGACTGATTTTCCAAAGGATCCAGCTCAATCGCTTTGAAAAATATTGTATTCCGTTCCATGAATCCAAAGCAAGCTGGAAGTGAAAGAAACAACTGTGTGACTTTTTAGGGTTCTCTAACAACATACAGAGAGAGAGAGAGAGAGAGAGAGACAGAGAGAGACAGAGAGAGACAGAGAGAGACAGAGAGAGACAGAGACAGAGAGACAGAGACAGAGAGACAGAGAGAGAGAGAGACAGAGAGAGAGAGAGAGAGACAGAGAAACAGAGAGACAGAGAGACAGAGAGACAGAGACAGAGAGAGCAAGAGAGAGAGAGAGCGCACTTTACTGTTAAATGCAGAAGGAAGGGGAAGAGCTACAGCTCTCAAAGCCTTAGGAGGTTAAGAGTGGAAGAAAGGAGGATGGAGAGGGCTTGAGAAGGACAGAAACAGGAATGAGCAAGGCAGCAACATGGACACAGTACAAGCACAGCCAGCAGCCAGTGTCAGATGTGCCGTGGGCCACTTCCAGGTTAACTGAAACAAAGAGTAACCAACCAACCAAAACCTCATGCTTGCTTCTGTTAAAGACATTTGGGGAAAATAAATAAATGGAATTCTTAGAAAATGGATACACAAAAACTAAAATAGGGTTGGCTTTTATTTGTGAAGTCTAGGCCAACAATTATGCTGATTATAACATCGCTGCGTGCCAGCAAAGATAGGGTCCACCAAAAATGGACTGCAAAGTTGAGCTCACTAGGGCTGGCTGAGTGTATGTCTAAACAAACATGTGCGACCAGACTGCCGGGGACCAGAAACCAGGGGATGCTCTGAGCCATGGAGGAGGATCTTTTTTAACTTGTAGAAAAAGATAAAAATACTATTTTTATATACTATACATATTTCTATTTTGAAGTACCAAGAAGTTGGCCCTTTTAGAATGCAGAAGTGGTGCTTTGGATGACCACCCTTACATATAACGACAAAGTTCTGTGAGGCATAACTTTGAACTTCAAGAATGATGAATTGTAAATCAAGATAAATTTAAACATTTGTATAGATTTTTTTCTCCACGATTATATAAGACACAAAGTTCCTGGGTTTCCATCACCTTCAACCAACTACTACTTAAGCCTACCTGGAGTAAAAGAATCCCGATTCTAATGTTGGAAAGGTTCCTTAAGGTCATTTAGTCTGAATAGATCATAAGGAAATGGCCAACAATATCATACCAAAACCAGTTGGGAGATGGAGATATAGGTACACTCAGAGAAAATTAATTTGGGAGAAGAAAGAGCCCAGTCTCATGTTAGAAGGATCTTCGTGAAAAAGAACAGTGTGGTTTGAAATCTAGTCACAAAGCTAGGTCTGCACTCCTTCCTCGGGGGAATTTCCTAAGATTTAGGCTACCTAAAGATAATAACAGGTTTCATCACGGGCTAGTGAGTCACTTGTTACTAAAGATACATGCTCTGCTCCCCAGACTACTCGGTGGGATTTGCAGAGCAGCACTTAAAAACCATTGGCTTCAGCTGGGCATGCCAAGTCTGATTTTGCAGGTCTGAGGCAAAAACCTCATCATCCCCACCCCCTTCAGCAGACTCCCAGGTGATTCCAATGTCACTAGTCCATGGCCCCACGCTTTGTGTAGCAAGGATGAAGCATGAACAAGAACCAATGTTTCCCAAATGCAGTCCTGTCCTGTCTTCTTCAAAAAAAAATACACACACACACACACACACACATACACACACACATCAAAAGTCCTTTCCACCCCTGATTTGGGGGCAGATGGTTAATAACAGGTTAAGAGGTTTTATGAGGACATACCAAGTTCCAGAAAAAGTGTGACATCATGCTATTATTTTGAGAACCTTACAGTCACATCTTGAGTAGTGATTATGCACAACTGCAAAGATGCAGTTCACTTCTATTAAAAAAAAAAAAGGTGCTCTCACCCTGAGTTTTGAAAGTAACCACAACCAATAATTTATTAGTCTATGGTAACACAGAATGTGAAAGAGAAGGCTCTAAAGTAATTATTCCCAATGATGTCTATAAAATTGAGTATCTGTAAAAGGAAATGCAGTCTCTCAAGGCCACACATTGTAGTCCTCCAGTGGCTTCCTGTTCTTTTCCTAGCCCTGGCATTTCACCTAACACCCACCTGGATCATCGATTGGTCATAATTTGTTCTGTTCCCCAACTTGTGTAGTAAACCGGGGCTTTCAATCAGTTCTTCACCTTATACGAAATCTTCCCTGGAGAAATAGACAGATCTGAATGTAGCCCTTTCTCCAACTGTAAGCACTCTTCATAGTTTCTCTCCCGGAGAAAATAATACTACAATCAACAAGGACCAAGCCAGACCTGCTGGTCCAAGTCTGTAGTCCCAGCTACTCTAGCAGCTGGGTCAGAACAAGGCCAGCCAGCTTCAGCCACTAGTAAGATCCTGTTTCAACAGAAACAAATGGCAGTGGGGCTGGGGAGAGAGCTCGCTAAGGAAGTGCTTGACTGGCATGTGTGAGGCCCAAGTACGGGGCAAAGAAAGGACAAAAAAAAAAAAACAAAACAAGCTGGGCGGTGGTGGCGCACGCCTTTAATCCTCGCACTTGGGAAGCAGAGCCAGGCGGATCTCTGTGAGTTTGAGGCCAGCCTGGGCTACAGAGTGAGATCCAGGACAGACACCAACACTACACAGTGAAATTCTGTCTCGAAAAATAAAAACAAAAACAAACAAAAACCCACCTCTTGTGTTTCCTTCCTAAAGTTACAACAGCATCTGATTGACAGAAGAAGCCCCTTTTTCAAATGACCTATTCTGCCAGGTTTTCTTCTGAATGAGCCTAGATCATTCTGTCCCTTCCATCTCTTCTCTGCTAGATCCTCTCTCTTGGCCTTTTTAGCTACTTTTAAAATAAAGAAAGGAAATCAAGCTAAGAGAAAACAGAAGTCAAACCTTAAGATCCCAGTGTTAGAAATCGTCCTGCATTTCAGGGCAAATATGTGACAGCATGTACACCCCCTTTAGATGATCTAACCTGAGTTACAAATGAGAGGCGGGTCTTAATTTGGGGTACTATGTATTTATTACAAAAAAACCACTAGTTATGTCTTTTTTTTATGAAACCATACATTTTATATTTCCTTCCTAATGTCAGTAGACTAATAATCCTTACAGCAAAGTGTGTTGACTAAAATTCAGTATTTGGTAAAACAACTTAAGAGCACTGCTTTCACCTCTAAAGAGATGTCGTTGATACTCAATAAAGAAATTCCCAAGGTCTACTCAATGCCAGACATTGTTCTAGCCACCAGGGATACAATGCCTCAGAGACATACATCAGCCAGCCATTCATGAGCGTTTATCAAATTATGGTTGGGAACTATCGGAACTGATCCAGGCAGGGAAAGGCAGGAAACAGTTTCTGAAAGATGAGGGTGGATCACATGACACAGGCTAGGAAGGAAGAACATTCCAGACAGAAGGACAAGCACCTGTGACCATTCCAACAGCAGCCTGAGAGCAATCACCAGAACTAACAGGGCAGAGGGAAATCTATTTTCATTTGCTACATTTTTAGCTCAAGGATATTAGAACAGGGTATTCTGGAATGGGTAAACTGAAGTCAGAGCTACAAATATATCAAGACTCCTCTATGGGATTCCTGCACTTTCAACATTATTATTATTATTATTATTATTATTATTATTATTATTATTTTTTGGTTTTTCGAGACAGGGTTTCTCTGTGTAGCTTTGCGCCTTTTCTGGAACTCGCTTTGGAGACCAGGCTGGCCTCGAACTCACAGAGATCCGCCTGCCTCTGCCTCCCGAGTGCTGGGATTAAAGGCGTGCGCCACCACCGCCCGGCTCAACATTATTTTTATAAACATGTAAAAAAAAAAAAAACCCACACCCTCAAGCATTAGATATTTCAAAATATGTATAGTGATTTACTCAATGTCCACAGTTTTCAAAAGAAATGCATTTCTCTTTGGGGTGGTTTGAGATGATTTCCAACAAAATACACATCCAAGGTGGGAAATAAAAAGAAATTTGTGCTCCCAATTCAAGAAGTAATACCAGCACACTGGAGCCTCCATGGAATCCAACGATGTGGTTCCACTTTCACAAACAGCTACAAAAATGCTTTAGCACATTCCATAGGCAAGGCAAGATCAGGCCTCTTAGTTCCTGGCTGAAGCCCAAGAAATCCTCCAGGGCTGAGAAAAACCCTCCCAGCCTTCAGGAGACCACCAGGCTAACTCACCTGAAATCCCATTAGTACCGTGGTGAGGAAACTGGGCGGATGAGGGGAGCAGTAATATATTTGTCCCCCGATGCCACTTGTATACCCACCCCTCCATACTAGATTTCCTGCCCATCTATCAGGTACCACAGAATCTCAAGACAAAAGGGCTGAGCTGCAAGCAAGGCCTCCTGTCAGGCAAAGCCCCAGTTACACATTTAAACACAGTTAACCCAAACGTAAACAGACCCTTTTGTTCTGCTCCTGACCTCTTAACTGCTCATTCGAGGTTTGCTGCCTTATAATTTACATTATAATAAATAAATATGTATATTTATATATTGTCTGGAAGGTACGAGTAGCCTAAAACCCCCTCCCTTTTCTCCAGGTATAAATGCCAAGAACTAGAAGTTGAGAGAGACACTCAACGGACTACAAAATGACACAAGAACTAGAAGACAAAAATGAACATTTTCTAACCTTCCCAAAGTTTTATGTTTGTGTTTTTAAGTGCCCTGAAGATGTTCCGGTAGTTACTAACA